AGTGTTAGTAGCACTCACTAAAGCTGGTTTCTTTTTGAACCTTAGGAAATGCTCATTTCTTAAAACAAAAGGTAGAGAGAGTTCTTTGAATTCGAAGTAGAAGCTGGCCAGCTCAAACCCAACCGTAGGCAGGTAGGGGCGTTGACAGTCCTACCGCACCCCCACACTGTGACACAGTTGAGGCAGTTTATCGGACTGGCTTCATATTTTCGCCAATTTGTGCAAGACCCCTCGCATTATGGTCCCACTGTACCGAATGACCTCACTTATACTTATAAATTACACGACTCTCATTCATTTCGGCGTCGAAAAGACTCGTGAAAAGCTCTATGACTTTTATTGGTTTCCGGAAATGTCTCACCAACCAATTTCCAAATAAAAAAAAAAAAAAAAAAAAAATAATTTTTTTATTTTATAACAGTATGTAAGGAAATTCGTTGATAACTGCGTAACATGTAAAGTCACGAAGCCTCATTCTGGAAAGGTTTAAGCTAAGCCTCACTCAATTCCGAAAGCCACTATACTATGGCACGGGGTACATATAGACGTGACCGGTAAACTTAGCGGGAATAATAATGCCAAAGAATATGTCTTTGTTCTGATAGACGGGTTTACCAAATACGCCCTGTTATTCCAAACGACATTCCAAAAGTAGTATTCTCGCGATATCTCAAAGTGTAGCGCTTTTTGGAGCCCCTACTCGCATCATTGCCGACCAAGGTCAATGCTTTGCTAGTAAGAAGTTTCACGATTTCTATGATAGTAAAAACATAAACTTGCATCTCATAGCGACCGGCTCCTCACGGGTAAACGGGCAGGTCGAGCGTGTAATGGGTGTTTTGAAATCATATGAACTGCCATTAAGACAAGCGTAAATATGTAAATAGTGGCAAGACGCTATAGGGGAGGTACAGTTGGCGATCAATTGTACTATCAACCGCGTAACAAAAGCTTCACCGCTTGAGCTTTTGATCGGTAAAGTCGCAAGACCATTAGCATTAAAGTGTAGTGAGGTTGACACCGAAGTTGACAATGACGAAGTTCGCAAAATTGCGTTGGAAAATATTCGGAAAAGTGCGGAGTATGATAAGGCTCGCTTTGATAATACAAAAGCGATAGATACAAAGTTTTTGGTTGGTGATTTTGTGTTATTAGAAAATGAAGAGCGGAATCAGACTGAGTTAGATCCGAAGTTCAAAGGTCCGTTTAGGGTAGTGGGGATTTTGGATGGTCATCGTTACACGCTAAAAGCCTTAAATTCTAAACGTACGTACAAATACGCTCACGATAGGTTAAGAAAGATGCCAGTAGATCATGTACCAGATATTATGGAAGTACGCAATAATTTTGATAATAACCAGGAAGCGCCTAAGTGATCTGGGAATTTGAGTAAGTACTCTATGCGGCGGCGTACTGATGTCGACTGTACCAGTAGCTATTACATAGTCGTCACCCGGTAGAAATAGGTGTCTCTTGAGTTAACTCAAGTAGTCCGTGGGTGCGTGATGCGCGTTTAGCTCTAGCGGAGGTCGTGGTTTTTTAAAAACTGTAGTGTGTATTCAGTGGGTGATGCACACGGTGATCTAGTGGTGGATGCACATAAGAGAGTACAACTGTGATTGCTTTAGCCAAGAGGCCGTGGCGTTAGAGGAGTTTACTCGTGATGTTCCAGAGGCTTGTTTGTTTTCGTTGTATTAATTACGATATTGATTATGAAATTAATGATATATTGTCGCAAATGATGATGGTACATGACTCTGGTTAATTATTATTGTTAGATTTTAACTGCTTTCTATGATTTTAAAATGTTGGTTAGAGCTGTTTAGAAAAACGTAAAGAGAACCTAGATTTTAATGATTCAACTAAGAAATTAATTCCCGATAACTCTTGCAAGTAATAAAGACTGTTGAAATAAAAAATGAAAACTGAAATATTTTTTTTAAAATGTTGAGCTAGAGAAGAGAGTACACGTGCCAGTGTGGGCAGAATTGGCAGAGTTGAACAAACACTTTCGGTTAAATGTTTGTTTGCAGGAGAACGTGTGCAAGCAAAATGGCCGTGTGACAATCGAGTCGGCACTCTCAGAATGATTATTTCAAATAATCAGAACGCAAGCGCCATCTGGTAGCACTGGACAAAGTCTAGGACGTAGTGGTCGACCGGAGCTGCACAAGCATTTTACGTGGGTTGTCGGAGAGTGAAGTTGTCTAGAAACTGTCCCGCGTTCCGTATAGTTTGTACATAGAGTTACGTTGAGCTTTATGTTAGTAATTATTTAAGTGAATTTTACCTAGAATTACATTGTTGTTATTTATCGTGACGGCTTTTTATAATTTTAAACCAACAGTAGTAAGTAGTATTAAGCTCACGAGAAAAATAAGTTACTATGTCGGACTATAACGAGGGTATTTTACCCACTCCGTTATATAATTAAACATATATTAATTTATCACACTTTACTACGACCGCGAGCGCTCATTAGTCAAATCATGTAGCGCGCGTTTCCCGGGCTTCTTGTTACACACTGCCATTCCTGAAATCACTCCCACAGATTGCAGAAAAGCGAGAGGAAAGATGTTACACATCAAAAAGGTAGATACGTTACTAGCCCACCAAAACTGAAACGTCTGAAAGTGTTTAATTAGCCACTCTGGCCCTTTTCTAACAATTATGACGCCATGATTACGTAAGCGTAAAGAAACGGACAAAATTGACGTTCCAGAACGGCGATAAGATCATGAAGAGCGAGAGAGAATGTAGTGAATGAAAGCAAAGATTTAAATAGTTAGATGCGCAATCACCTTGAAAAACTCTTGTATTATTTTTGAATGTGTGCGTTTGCAAGACGCTGACTCGGGCACACTAAATTAGTTATTAGAAGAGTACTGAGACAATAGTCTCATCTCTTATTATCTTACGGAAATTGTGTATACTACTTTCTCTATCTACCACGGAATTTTTGTCTGTTTATGTCTAATTATAGATCATCCCTTTGTAAACCGCTTCCTTGGTACATCCGAGTATCTAAATAAATTGGTTATTAGAAGAGTACTGAGACATTAGTGTCATCTCTTATTATCCTACGGAAATTGTGTATACTACTTTCTCTGTCGCACAGTTTCCGTTTGCCCGTAGTTATTTCATGGTATTTTCTGACATCGGAATAAAATAAATTCAATATTTAATGAAATATAGATACTTACGAGTGAAATGTTACACCTTGGGCTAATAAAAAAAACTAATCATTTGTGTTTTTAGAATTATTATTGCAGCTAGTATTATGGAGTGTAGAGGTAAGGAGTACAGATTCTGTATAAAAAAATGTCCGTAGGAAAGCGCTAAGTAAGGGTGGTGCCACTGTAGCTACAGTCCAAATTTTAAAGAACTTTTTATAATTTTTTATTGCACAGAATGTCATCATAATTTTTTTTAGAATAATTATTTTATTGCTTTCAAAATTTTTATTTTCGTAATCACTCTCAACGTATTTTACAGCGATTTATTGATTATGATACTGATAAATTAAATTGTGATCTGAACTCAAATAAATGTAAAAGCCTTCGTCTTATCACGCTAAGTTTAAATGAAAAGCCACAGACATGGAGGCATAACAATACTAATAACTCTTTCACTTCTTTCAGAATACCAGCGTAAAATAGTAGCTTAATGCTGCTGTGTTTTGTATGGTGAGTGTAGAGAACCGGAGATCCTTTTTACTGGAAACGAGATATTCCATCTTAGTCCTCACTAGTGACAACGCATCTGCATTTCGATTTGTACTCGAGGATAGATGTAGATGTCCATGGGCCGCAGGAACCATTTACCATCAGGTGGACTGTGTGCTAGTTTGTCACCCTATCCTATAAAAAATAAATGCGTGATGCCAGAATTGATGTTGCAATATGTGCTGGCTAAATGTGGAATCGAAACCAGGAACCGCGGCGTATCAGTACCTAACTACCACGCACTGAGCTAAAAAAAGAAAGTTTATTAAATGAACCACATGAGTGTAGTGTTATATACTATTTGTCACATTATAATAGTTTTAAAACATATCTGTTGAAAATTAAAAGTTAAAAAATACATAAAATATTAACAACTACTGAGTTACTGTCTTATTTATTTATTTCTAAATAATAGTCAAAACAATTTTTAACACCTATTACAACAAATTAGTTAAGCAAATATTTTTTATTTGCTTAAGATGTGAAATAATTATTGGCATTAGTAGGAAATATCTATTATATAATTTAATCATGAATATATTGCAGTTTTTATATTACTTTTATTTATACAGGTTTAATTTAAATAGTACCCGGATGACCGGCTTTGCTCGGTTTTATTAGAAATTACATTTAATACAAATTACATATTGATGAATAATATTTTTTGATGTTCAAAACTCATGAATAAAAAATCATGAGTGCAATTGAATTAAAATTTCCAATTTTTAAAAAATACTAAAAAAAGGCTTAAATAATAGATTTTCTCACAAAAGAAGGGAATTTGAAAAAAAAAGTAAAAAAAAAGTCGGACCCAATACGGGACGCGAACCACGGAACTCCGATATAACGATCGACCGACATCCCCACCTGAGCTATCACGATCGTAAGTAGACTATCAAAATTTACCTTCTTATATTGTAGCAGTTCTTTTATTGCCTGAAAACACGGTCAAAAGGACATTTTCTAAAAATAAATCCTAGCTAGATCGATTTATTGCCCCCGAAACTCCCTGGACTACTAAATTATGTGAAAATTGTTGGAGCCGTTTCCGAGATTCCGATTATATATATATATATATATATATATATATATATATATATATATATATATATATATATATATATATAAGAATTGCTCGTTTAGTGGTATAGGATAAAAGGCAAAGGTAACTTGAAATAAATCAAACATTTATGGAATGGTCTTCACATTTAAATCATATTTTCTTCTACAGAATATAAATTACTTCTTAAAATTAATTCTGCACCTGAACACCCATTAGCAGTTTACAGTCTGCATTATTCTGCGAACAAATAAAACATACAATATTAATTTTTTCGCAACTGGCTCGCAATATGGGACCTCCATGAAAATCTTTAAATCTATGCCTTATATGTATATCCTAAAAAACGACCACTGATGCAGTCCAGTAAAGTAATTATTTGTAAGTATATCGTATTAAATGCATTTTCGTTGATAATTTTTAATTGACAAATATGAGAATGATTTACATTCTACACAATCTGCGATTTACAACTTAATCATTATTGAAATAAAACCTAACAAAGCAAGGAAAGTCAAGAATCGACAAAAATGGAAAGTGATGGTCTTGTGCGGTTTTTTAAATTATTTTAAGTAAGATAATAGGTAATAATAACTAGTGGTCGAAATTCGACCGTAATTCATTTAATTTTTTGATTCACAGTAGTGGATGGCCAATCATCCAGATGGTATGGATGGTATCGCGAGTTTTGTCGCGATGTACGAGTCCGAACAATTCCTCAGGGTCCTCCCCGTGGTAGATGCGATAAAATACGCAAATAGATGCAACATTTCTTTGCAATGCCAGTGAGTCGAGCCGATTAGAAAGAGCTCGGTCGCCGACGAATCGAACCGCTCTGCGCTGGATGTGATCAAATGGTAGGAGCTGGCACTGGGGAGCCCCAGCAGCCCATAGATGAGAACAATATTTCATGTGAGGCCGAACCTTCGGCTTGTAAAGTTGCAGGCAGTGTGCCGGCATGAAATACTTTCCCGCCCCGCCGAGCACACCGAGCTTTTTAGAGGCCAATTTGGCCTCCTCTTCCAAGTGGCCACGAAACTGCAAATCACCCGATATGTCGACGCCGAGGATTCCAATACTGGCTGTGTCACTGACCTCTATATATACAAGTACGCTGGACTGGCTATAAATCGTGACATGATGAAGCAATTTGATTTCCGCCATTTTGTCGCTGACAGCAGAAGTGCACGTCCACGGAACTAATAATAGTGATATGACAGTGCACCAAATTATATCGATAAAAATTCTATACCCTACCTATACCTAAATAAACAGAATGGACTCTATGGATAGATGGACTCTACCCGTAACGTCCATTCTATTTATGTATCATATTAATATAATGTCATTATTATTCATCATCACTAAAGCCCTTCTCAAGTCCACTGCTGAACATAGGCCTCCCCCAAGGAATGCCACAAAGCACGGTCCTGAGCCACCTGCATTCATCAACTTCCTGCATGTCTTACCAGGTTTTGACTTCATCTAGTGGGGAACGTGCTACACTTCACCTGCCGGTACCAGACTGCCACTCGAGAACCCTTTTCCCTCACCGGTATTCGGTTCTTCGAGCTATATGGCCGGTCAATTGATACTCCAACTTACTAATCCATTAGGCGATGTCGGTCACTCTATTCTACTGCAGATATCCTCATTCCTAAGTTTGAACTCCTGACCATAGCCCTCTTCATAGCTCGCTGAGCGACTTCGAGCTTCCTCATACGGCCAGCAGTGGATCTCGTCGCAGATCCATAGGTCATCACTGGCAACACGCACTTGTTTTACAATCTAGTTTTGAGGTATTCCTGACGAGAAGATGTGTTGTAATCTCCCGAACGCTGCCCAGCCGAGTTGAATCCGTCGATTAAACAGTCGGACGAAGTTGAACTTACTTAGTCGGACTATTTGTCCCAAGTAAAAAAACTCGTCAACAATTCAGCTAAGTGCTCCCAAAAACCACCGGCATAGGTGTGACATTGATATTACGCATGACTTTTGTTTTGTCCATGTTCATCTTAAGACCTATCATTTGGGAGACGCTATTGAGGTTATTGAACATAGTGCGTAAGTAGTTACGTTGTGCCAGTTCTGGCGCACTGAGTCAGAAGTGGTACAAGTACGACGTTCGTCGACTCAAGATCCTAAAAAAAAAGTTTTGGCATGCTCTGATCACGAATCTGCGGTCCATTTTTGCGTAGGATGCACGGTTTCGGAGATGTGCAGATCAATTAACTATAATTAGTAGTTACGTTGTACCAGTTCTGGCTCACTGAGTCAGAAGTGGTACAAGTACGACGTTCGTCGATTCAAGATCCTAACAAAAAAAAAAAGTTGGTTGGCATGCTCTGATCATGAATCTGCGGTCCATTTTTGCGTAGGATGCACGGTTCCGGAGATGTGCAGATCAATTAACTCTTATCTCATTGATATCCGGTGATGGCCTCGACCGTCATTAGCACTCCATTGTTCTTATCTATTGTTCAATGAATACTGTCATTATCTATTATTCGTCAGCGTGTGCGTCGGCTCATCAGTGCTATTGTATTATACTCCTTTGTCCATATCTACAACACTAATCTGAATCAACAATAAAACACATTACCTAATTTTGTTAAAAATTTTATTTATAAAATGCAAAATCTTACTACTTATTATCTATAAAATAGGAGCGAAACATCTCATCCACTAAAATATCGTTGTACAATGTGTTCCCTGTAAATATATTCGTAAAACTATGCATTGAACATCCCTGAAACTTATATAGCAAATACATTAAGCAATATTCGCCACAAACTGAAGTCCACTCATTCTGAATCCTATCAACATTCCAGTTCCATCTTTTACAATTCCTTTTTAAAAACTCTAGATGATATCGTACAGGTGCTCGTCCATATAAATCAAAATATTGACCGACGTCATTCGTATCGATATATAAAGCTACCCAATGTGACCCTGATTTATCATCTGTACCCAAATTGCATATTACCTAGTCAGGTCATAAATTCTATCACATGTTTAATATAAAGTAATTGAAACAAGTTTATTCATTATGTAACCATTTATATACCATTTTATATACCAAAATGAACTTAACAAAACATAGATTCTTATGACACTATAGTTTATTCAAAATGACCTCCGTGATTTTGAATACAGGCCTTCAATCTGCGCGGCCAGTCGTCTATCGCAGCACGAACGAGGTCCATGTCAATATCGGCGGCTGCCTTAATCAAGGACGACTTGAGTGACTCCAAATTGGGATGAGGCTTTGAGCACGCCTTTTCCTCCAAGTGTTGCCATATCTTGTAATCTAACGGATTCAAATCTGGACTGGAGGAGGGCCAGTCTTCGTTCCGGATGAAGTCGATTTCACGCGCCGCCAGCCAGTCTTGTGTGCTCTTCGCTCTATGAGCTGACGCCGAATCTTGTTGGAATACCCAGTGGCTGTTATTGAACATGGTATGAGAAACAGGTTACACAAGGCTCGTCACGACTGTATTTTGATAAACAACTGCATTCGTTTTTACACCTTTCTCAGAAAAATGTACCTCTGTTAAGCCCCAATAAGAAACTCCCAACCATACCATGAGCGAGGATGGAAAATGACCTCGTTGGACACGCGGAATACGGTTGCTCGCTTCTTCACTACTGTGTGCGTACACCTTATCATTTTGTTTGTTGTAGCTCTCTTCTACGGTAAAAAAAATTTTCATCCGAAAAAAGAATTTCCCGATATTTTTTTCCCGCGTACCGCTTCAACAAAGCACGGCATCTCTTCAGTCTCAGATCCATTAGACGAGCATTCAAACGATGTCCTGTTTTTCTTCGATATGCCCGAAGCCCTAAGCCTTCATTTAACACCCTTTTCACCGTGGTTCTGCTTAACCCCAATCTGAAGGGCCAACAGTTTCTGCTTACGTTTGGGATTTCTTTGAATTCGCGCCTTCACAGCTTTTATCACTGCTGGAGTCCTAACAGACCGAGGGTGACCACTTCTTGACCTGTCATCTACACTAGAGTCTTCATTGTATCGTTTGATGGTACGATAAACGAATGTTTTCGTTATATTCAAATTTTTCAGTATGTCAAAAATTTGAATTGATGCGTAACCGCAACGATGCAACGCAATAACTGCAACATGGTCTTCTTTAAGCGTCCACTCCATATTTAAAAATGAATAAAATTCTAAAAAGTATACAGTTTTATTTTCATGAACAATTCGAATTCAATAATTTTTTTTTGTGGCCAGCATTCTAAAAGAAAAGTTTTTACTGTGTGACAATACTTATGACCTGACTAGGTATATACGTTGGTACGTGGGTGTACATGGGCAGTCTATTAGCAGCATAAACATTATTTTCTAGACTGGGGTGAATCTTTTTCAGATGTTGTTGTACATCTAGTGTATCCATGATATTACTGCTATTAGTAGATTATTACAGTACAATCTACTCAATGACTATCTCTAACATAGGAATGATCAATTATAGTGATTTCTAAATATTAAATTGCATTATTTTGTTTTATACAAAACGTATTTGTGTCATCAATACACTGAACAAGACGCGACACGACGTAATGTTGAGATAAGCAACAAAATGTGCACACAGTAGTGAAGAAGCGAGCAACCGTCTTCCGCGTGTCCAACGAGGTCATTATCCATCCTCGCTCATGGTATGGTTGGGAGTTTCTTATTGGGGCTGAACAGAGGTACATTTTTGTGAGAAAGGTGTAAAAACGAATGCAGTTGTTTATCAAAATACAGTCCTGACGAACCTTGTGTAACCTGTTTCTCATACCATGTTCAATAACAGGCACTGGGTATGCCAACAAGATTCGGCGTCAGCTCATAGAGCAAAAAGCACACAAGACTGGCTGGCGGCGCGTGAAATCGACTTCATCCGGCACGAAGACTGGCCCTACTCCAGTCCAGATTTGAATCCGTTAGATTACAAGATATGGCAACTATAATGGCAATCCTTGATTAAGGCAGCCGCCGATATTGACATGGACCTCGTTCGTGCTGCGATAGACGACTGGCCGCGCAGATTGAAGGCCTGTATTCAAAATCACGGAGGTCATTTTGAATAAACTATAGTGTCATAAGAATCTATGTTTTGTTAAGTTCATTTTGGTATATAAATGGTTACATAATGAACAAACTTGTTTCAATTATTTTATATGTAACATGTGATAGAATTTATGACCTGACTAGATAATATGCAATTTGGGTACAGATG